GGGGGGGAATTGATACGAAACCAGATCAGTGCTTGGAGGCAGCTGCTTCACGAAACAATGGGTCAGATCCAGGTTCAAACTGGCCAACAGGTAGACAGGCAAGCAGTAGATAGGCTTTGTCAACAGCTGAGAACATTTGAGTCAGGGCAGTGGGAAGTCCTTTGGCCTTGAAGAGCACACTGGGAATCAATTGATAGGCTGGCCAGCGTGAGGCCATATCATCACACTGCTAGGTGTCCATCTTTTTATGGGTTCCTCATGAGGAAGCCACACCCTTTCTTTGGTCTGGTGTGTCCAATAAACACCAGACCCGGATCTTAGGCCTGGTTTCCCTGTGACTTTAATAAGCCACTATGCTCCTACAAGTCCCAATTCACTCCAATAAACATAGAGCATGGCTCCTTTTCTAGTCCCAGGAATGAGCCATTTATCAGTCTGTGTGTGATGTCTCACAGATGGTACAGATTCTGAGTCCACCCAGGGGCTGCAGTCATCCTCCCTGGAAATGGAGTCAAAAGGGAGTCTTCTGGGGTTCACAGCTCAAATGCCACTATTTTATATAATGTAGCACAGAGTAGGCATAGCTTGATCTCATCGTGTACCCTGATTTCAAGATAGTAGCCCTCTAGGAAAGAGTGGGGGTTGTTTAGGGGTGGATTTCAGTTTTATATATAACACTTTATTTCATAGGCAGAAACTGATGTTTGGTGATGTTATGTTAATGGTATTAGGTATCTGAAATGTTTTTGGAAAAGTTTCAGATACACAAATACAAAAGAAACACGTTGCCAGGTTGTTCTTCTTATACAAAACTGCCCCTTTGTGCCTGATGTCAAGATCACGTAGGGAATATTGAATTTTCTTCCTTAATCCTCTTCTAAAGGCCATGCTCATTGCCCCGAGCAACAGCACACAGGTGTTTCTGGCCCTGTTTATGCTGGGAAATGGGACTCTGTGGTGCTTTATTTAATCAGGGCTCCTATTTTCCTGTGGGGATGGGATATCAACTACTGGAAATGAGCCCTTCCCTGGTCAGCCTGAGGTCCTGTCCACTCACCATGGTGAGGTAGTCATCCTACCTATCAGATGGTAGGCATTTACCAGGCGAAAGAACTCCAATGCTGAGCAGACAGACATTTGTTAGCACAGATAAGCTTGTATTGAATTAAGAAGGAGCACTTAGAAGGAAGACCCTAGAGAATCCCTAGAACACAAATCACTGTGAAGCATTTTCTCCAGGCAAATGAGCAAATGAAAGAGCGTGCCCATCTGATCCCAGGTCACCGGAGCCACATGAGATGGCAGCCTCCAAAAGAGATGAAAAACATTCCCATGGGGTCTCAGGATAGCTCTGATCTCTCGAAGCAGAGGTGGCCTGTTTACTGGGCATTTCAGTGACCAGATGTGTGACTCATCCTGAGGAGATGTAAACAAAATCTACTCACAGCAGATGGCAGATGGGACACCAGTGACCTTATAGGAACACTCTACCAAGTCTCTTGTGGTGAATCAAAGAATTCACTGGGAGTATTTTCAGGTGTATGGACAAAGGGTTACTTATAAGAAGAATGACCTAAAGAGGGTCACATGCCAAAAAAGTCTTACTCTGGCACAGGTGAGGACTTCTCCACGGCTGCATAGACAAAGTCCTCCCTTTAGCTAGGTAATCATACATCCCTGTATACTGTGGCACCTTCCAAGACAATGTGCAGCCAAGGCACAGTTACATGTGTCTGGGGACTCATGAAGGACAAGGTGTCTGGAATGACCCTCCAAAGTCCCCAAGTCTATGGGAATGCTGACAGGCTCTACTGTGTGGAGCATCTCCTGCTCCAACGAAGATGGCAATGGCCTTTAGGTTAAAGGAGTGTACCCCCAGAATGAGAAAATGCACTTCTTCCATAATAAAGTGGACATGTAAGGGGCCGCCATCTTTTTACAGTTCAAATGCAATTTTAACCAGATGAGTCTACAGGCTTTCACAAATTCAGAAACGGCACTTACTAAGGGCAGAGCACTTTCCCTAAAAGGCCCATCACCACCACAACTATCGTGGCCATTATTGTCCCCATGGAACAGACAAGGCTTTGAAACTCCGGAACTCTGCTAATGTTGGCTGAGGCACTAACGGGCGCAGGTAGGGGCTGGACCACCCTGAACACTCTCAACGTCTCTACAGTGTCACTGCCTCAAGCCCCTTCTTCTTTCCTCCTCCTCCTCCTCCTCCTCCTCCTCCTCCTCCTCCTCTTCCTCCTCTTTCTTCTCTTCCCCCATCCTCCCAACTGGAGATTGACAAGCATCCTTTTCTCACAGTCTGTACTTGAGATCCCCATGGTGTCACCCTGCAGCTGTCCTATGTGAGGGAGTGTTGAAAGTGCTGTTTCCGAGTACATTCTGTTCCCTAATATATCTATTGATTCTTTCCTGAAGTCTGTTCTTTCTTATTTCTTCACCTTCTACTTTGTTTCACAACAGCTCATGAATATTTATGGCCAGCTCTTCCATTGAATCTTTAAGAGCTGAGACAACGATTTCCAGTTTGTTCTGACAGTGTCTATTAGATAGCCCCACAGGCAACTTCTGGCTCTTGTGTCCTTCAGCACTTGCTTGTTGGGTCACCTGGGCTAGAAATCGTTTCTGATCTTCCAGTCTCTCTCATTTTCTCCCCCTGACCTTTATGGTTGCCTCCTCATGTGCTCCTGACTGGATGCTCCCGTTCCTTGGCGGTGGCTTTCACACAGGAACTCTGTAAGAAGGCATTCTTCTTTTTTGTCTTTAATTGAAAATAGATCTTTTTCATGCAGTATATTCTGATATGTTTCCCCTCCCCTAACTCCTCCCAGATCCTCCCCATTTTCCTACGCACCCAAATCCACACCCTTTCTTTCTATTTCTCATTAAAATACAAACAAACATTTAAAAAATAAACAACAAAATAAAATAAGGTAAAATAAAAATATACAAATCAGAGTAAGACAAAACCAACAGGAAAAAAAAAGCCAAAGGAAAAGCACAAGAAATACGTGTACACACAGATATTGAGACACACACACTTGCACGCACAGAAAACCCATAAGAACAAAATCAGAAACCGTAATATATAAGCCAAAGATCTGGAAGGAAAAAAATGGCCGAACCAAGCACTGTGAGACAAAAGCCTCCCCAAATATCACTGTGTTCCCTTTGTGTTGGTTATCTGCCGCTGGGCAGATAACCAAACCTGAGTTTGCATGACCAGTGAGACTCCGTTGGAGAAAACTAACTTGTCCTTGTGAGCCGTTATCAGTTGGAGACAGCTTCTGAGCTAGGGATGGGGGCTGGTGTCTAGTTCCTCTCTCAGCGCTGGGACCCCATCTGGCTTAGACCTGTGCAGGCCCTGCGCATGCTGCCGCTGTCTCTGTGAGCTCACATGCGAGTCAGTCCTACTGTGTCTAGAAGGCCTTTGCTTGGTGTCTTCCCCCCCCCACCGGCTCCTACCATCTTTCTGCCCGGGAGGCGCTCTGGAGCCAGCTCCACTCTTGCTGACCGTCCTCCACCATCCAGGCTGTGTTCCCTGTAGGGATGCGGCCCAGGAGCCTCTGCCCTTCGGCCTGAGCCCAACAGACTGGTGACTCAGCCCTTCCCACGGTGCTGGTCTGCTTTCCTGTCTCTGGCCATGTTAATTTCGGTTCCATGTGGTCCTGCCTCTCCTTATGTAAAGAAAACCTGTCTGTAACTGAGATCTGGAGAGCAAGGGGATTCGTGGGCAAACTCAGAACGTTTTCAGAATTCTCTAAACAGGAATAAAGGTTTTGTTTCACCATTTCTCTACCTCTTTATTATTATTATTATTATTATTATTATTATTATTATTATTTCACCTAAATGTGGAATTCATAACATTCTTACTCCCTGTGAAAGTTTCAATTTCTGCGGGCATTGGCAAGATAGCTTGTATTTTTTTTTTCACATTTATTGTAATGCCTTCAGCTTTGAAGGGTGGGGTCTGGCTCATTCCTGTATTAAGAAGACTAAAATTGGAGGAAGGGAGGGAGAGGTAAGAACTGCATTCCTTGCTTTATCTTTAGCATTTACAAGAACCATATAAATGTATCCAAAATCCCCAAAGCAGGAAGAGAGCAGTAAAATGCATGTGTTCATAGGAAATTCCATGGCTATTTGCTGTGCAGTGTGTTCTGGGAAGCATGTACCTCTGGGAAGAGGTATTGGCCAGAAAGGAGGGGGGTCTGTGTGTCAGACCCAAGACCGTGGAGGCCACCGAACTCCACCAGGCCAGCATCTGTATCCACCCTTCAGGGGCTTGTTTCTCTCAAGAGAATGTGTCCCGAGTTCCTCAGAAGGGCTGGGAGTCTGGGCCATTTGTACGGTGGTTTGCTTCAAGATGGAATGCTGATATTTCTAGGTCTGGTGAAAGGTCCCAGGGCTGAGAAGGTAGGGGAATTGTGTTCTCTGCCAGTGTCTTCACTTTCCATAATAAAATGGACAAAACACTTGAGTCTGTCCCCTTCTGTGCATCAGAGGGCATGACACAAAGGCCAGGAGGAAGGGTTGAGGGATGGTCCTTCTGCCTGGACACAAAGGCCAGGAGGAAGGGTTGAGGGATGGTCCTTCTGCCTGGACACAAAGGCCAGGAGGAAGGGTTGAGGGACGGTCCCTCTGCCTGGGCCACTGTGTACCTTTGGAGCTTGGCGGTTTGATAATAAGATCCAGAAGCCCTTGGCTCATGAGAAGGCTCGTGGGGATGAAATGAAAGATGCACAGAAGGAAACACTAGGCATAAGGAAAGCATCCAATACCTGGTCACCTCTGTCCTCATGGCTCCATCATCAGGAGCAGCAGAGCCAGTGCCCCCTCCACCCCACCCCATCAGCAGGCAAATCTGCAAGCCAACGTGTTTGCCCCTGAGCCAAGTTCCAAGAACTTATCCTCCCCAATTCCCTCCCCTCCCCAAGTGGGACACTCTCAAATTAACCTCCCAGTTCAATGTGTGTCTATGCCTCTTAGGGTTTATTAAGTCTGGTTTCTACCCCAGCCTTTCTGAATGCCGCTGTTTTCACAAGCTTGAAGTTAAAGAGTATCTCTCTCCGGGGGCTGAAGTGCCTGGCTGGGAGGTAGCTGTGAGAGAGCTGAAGCCCTGGGCAAGGAACCAGGCTTTCCTCCCCCCACAGCTCTGCTGGAAAAAGACACCACCCAAAGGAACCACTAGGAATCACTTACCCGAGGTAGGTGGAGAACGGGAAATTGTTTTTCTCTTTACAAATTACAATGAGCTGCATGCCACTGTTTTTAATGGGAACCATGTTTGTTGAAGAGAAAAGCCGTAACCGTGGGCTGGGAAACTATGTGCATAGTTTTGAACAAATATGACAAATTTAATCTGTACCTCTTGTTCTCCAGTAATGTAAATACGGTGACTCTTCAAAATACAATTATTTTTAATTTAATAAGCTGCATTTTTCCATGAACTCGTTTATGACTTTTCTGTGTTTCGGCTGACTCTCTACCTTCCTTCTTTGAATCGCAAAAAACCCCACCCATCACCACATACCATTTTTTAGAAGCACACTTTGCACAGCCTGTTTGAACTCTAATTATTCTCTAACTGTTGTGAGGTCCGAAGTCTCTGTCCTCATAGGGCCTCCCCGAGCCTTGTGCTCTGCTGATGTGATTGAGTATGGAGCCTGCTTGGGAAAGCTCATCCTCCAGTTAACCATCTGCCCACCAAGGCTGGTCCTGACAATGATGGGGGATAAATAATCATTTTAGTCTTGCCTCCTTCCACTGGGTGTCCTGTCTTTTTTTTCCCCCCACAAAGGACCTGAATTCTCAGGGCTGTTCTGAACTTGCCTTTAACATGACACACGGCTCTGCATTTTCAGGGATACTTCCAGCCACACTCTCCCCACTGGTCTCAGTCGGGGCTTCCTTAGATTATGCATTCTGCTACTTGACTATTAGACATCTCCAGTTCACACCCTTTTCACCCAGTGCCAGGCTCCTGTTGACTTGTTGATGTGTATCTGTCCAGCATGACCTGTGTCTCAACCTGTACAGGTGTACAGGTGCACATGCGCACTGTAGAGACGCGGTACTGTTATTCACCTTCTAATCCCCACTGCCTTCCAGTCTGTGCTGGGACAGTTGACAAACACCTGCAGCTGAGGTGCCAGAGGACCTTCAGTTGCTTGAGGAGCTGGGAGTGAATTGAGAGGCATGTTCCACTCCACTGTCTGGAGATCTCAAGAGGCAGGAGCTCCAATTGTTCCAAGTAGTGCCCTGAATTCACTTCGGGTGCCTGCTTTCCCCTCTCCTCCCTTCCCATCACAGCTATCTTCTGGACTGTCTGCCAAATAAGCCACTTTACTTCTCATCTGGGCTTCCAAGATGATACGCATCTCCTCCATGATCTCTGTTGCCTTTCCTCAGAGCTTTGTGCTCAGTAGCTGGGTTCGTGATACAGTGTGTCCTGAGCAGGAATGCACTGTCCCATGCCAAGAAGAAAGGGGTTATTTCCTTGAGTTGTCCAGTACCTGTCTCACAGATACTGCTAGAGAGTGGGAGACAAGCTGGAACCGTTTCAACAGAGTACAAGGAAATGGTTAATATTTCCAGAGATGTGTCGGATCGGAGTAGATTTATTTGGTAAGACTAAGTGGGTACCACTGACAACCTCAGGAGAGACATCAAACAAGAATTAGCCCCTCAAGTTCTTCCCAAATACACACCTACCGAAATAAAAAGAGCAAGAGTGAGGGGAAGATAATTACTGTCACAAGTATTGGGGTGACTTACCATATGACAATATGTGATCAGTAAACCTGCGATCAGTGTTATCTCAGACGCTGCATGCAAAAGGCCTTCAAAACATGAATAACCCTTTCTTTCGGGAGCATATAGACCTTAGAAGTAGCCACCGGCACCTTCACTGATAAGGGCGTTCTGGGGGGGGGGGGAGTCACAGTAGCCATGGGAAGCTCAGTGGCAGCTGTCTCCTGGAAGCCATGGCCAACAGAGAGAAGTGTAACGGAACTTGGCTTCCCTGTACTGGCACGTGCCCGTCCTTCATAATAATAGAGCTGCAATAGCTTCATTTCAACACAGAGGCAAGTAATTATGGTAATGGAGAGCAAGAACAGCACCGGGGTGGTAGTGACTAGACTGCAAATCCCAGTGCAAACCAGACAAGAAGCCAGTGGAGATTATGAGATGAGATCATGAGAGAGACTGAGTAGACGGCTGATGCCACTCACGTGTGTGGGAAATGGCTATCTCTTGTGCACTATCCAAGGCTGCATCCGAGATTAGATGTCCCTCTAATCTTTCCCCTTAGGATCCAAGAGGAAGGGAACATTCACATTTTTTGAGGGCCTTTGAACAGTGTCTGAGCTAACGCTGTTCCACATGTGTTGACTGAGTATCATTGGTTGATAAGTCACCCCAATACTTACCAGCATGCCCTTTCTCCTGGGACATGTAAGTAATAAATTCTTTCAAAATACAACTTTTCTGCATTAGTGTTCAATTGTTTCCACAGATTAAAATCCCGTGAATTCCTTTCAGAGCCAAATTAATGCTTGATTATATGAATGAACAAAAGAATACATAAATTAATGAATTGAAAGCAATGCCCAGAAATCTTAAATGACTTTCCTAAGTCATGCAACTATGTAGCAATCACAAACTAACCCCCTCTCTTCTTTTTTAAACTTTTATCTACTTACTGTTGCCTTCCTTTGGGTCTCAAAATGGTGGCCACATTGATGTCCAAGGAGCCTAGCCCAAAGTGGCAAACAGAAATGCCACTTGATTATATTCCAAATCGGACTCTGCGGAGCCACCATTGAGCTACTGCGTATCACATACAGTTTATAGTTGTGTAAGATGTTTGCCTCCTTCATCATTTGCTTTTCAGAATTGAAGAGGTGTTAGCTGTCAATCCTGGAGGGGATTTTTGTTGCCTTGTTCAATGATAGGACCTGAATCCCAGGCCTTGGGTAAGGCACGCATTCCAGCCCCATGCTTCCCTCCTGACAGGCATGCTTCCGTTAAGAAATGCTTTTGGGATAAGCTGAATGAAGCCTCCTATGTTTGTAGTGGGTGCCCTGAAAAGGTCCCTAGAACCTCCTGCTGCTCAGTCAAGGCAGTTCTTACGTCTCCCAAGTCTTGAAATCCTGGCTGGGAGACTCAGTTGGGGAGGGATAGAAGAGGGTCTCTGGAGTGTTTTCCATTTTTTTCCTGCTCTTTTCTCACCAGCTCCCCATCATGAAGGGGCAGCTTAGGGTGAGGCAAAAAGAAGGCAAGTTTCAGACAGAAGACTTTGGAGGCCCACAAAGGTTTCCGACTGAGATCTGAGCTTGCTTCACCCAGCAGGGCTGCATTAGAGGATGGCTTGACCACCTGAATGGTTGCTAGGTGATTGGATGAGTCTGCACTTGGCTGTGCTAGGGGGAGGTCTTTTGCTCCACCCCTTGGCATTCCTATAAATAGGTTTTTCTGAGACAGAAAAGGCTGGTGGATATTGATCCAGGCTCTCCCAAGGCTATCCTGTGTTTCTATCTGTCTCTCTCCCTCTGTATTTCTACCTAAATCTTTTATTCCTCTCTCCTCAAGAGTACCCTGGGGGAAAAGTGGGAGCTGGCCTCCCACTGAAGACCTGAGTGCTCTTGGGTGCCATACTTTCTCATCACCGCTGAGTGGAGGCAGCTCTGAGCGTAAGCCAGGATGACTACCAGCCTTCTGAGAAACCGTGATGTGATCCAACAGCGTGGAGCGACGCGTGCTGGAAATGTAGGACTGCGAGTGTGCGGCCACACACTCCCGAGGGAGTATGTTTGACAAGCATGTCCCACGTCAATGTATGAAAATTGTAAAGTACACTTACGTGGTGTGGGCCAGTCATTTGATGTGGGTTCCTGATGAAGTCAAGAGCCGTAGGAAACACAAACTGTGTGGAGTGGCTGCCAGTGTCACAGAGTGCCACCCTCTAGAGCAGACTTTTGTGTAAGTTC